CTTTCGAACTGCTAAGTTGGCAGAAGCTGAGACAAGTAATGGGAGCTCACTCGGTTATGTGGCGCTAGGGATTTGAACTGCTAAACTGCCTACCTTTCTGATTGACAAACTCGGCATCTTAGCCACTGAGCCATCACGTCCTTTAATGTATATATAGCAATGAGAAAATGTATGCACCAGAAAATGAACTTCTGGTTTCCGGTACGTGCATGTACGCCAACCAGCAAGTCTTCCAGTTACCAGTTCTTCCGGTTTCCAGCAGTGCTGCATACTGGCTGATCGTCACATGAGCATGCACACCAGAAACCCGGAATGGGCACCGCTGCATGTGCCAGGCAACATGGCTCTGCGTCAGGAGTGGGTTTTGGCTACTGTTACTGCCGGTTCACTCAGGGATGCGCTGAGTGCACACTTGCACTTCATGCACATGATACACATGTGTGATGCATGCTACATGTGCATGCACTATCCTAAAAATGTTTCTGCGCATGCACAGAAGCAAAAAAGATGGCAACATCTATGGCACTGCCGAGAAAACTAGTTTGGGGCCATGGCAGGTTGAGTTACTACCTACTCGGCCGAACCAGTCCAAACCAGTAGGAACCCACCTCTGCTCTGCATGCCACTTTGGGCACGCATGCCATAGGTTTGCCATCACGGGTATAAGGACTCCTGCCTTGAGCTGGAGGTTGAACTAGAATATTTCCAAAGTCTCTTCCAATCCTATGATTCTAAATTATAGGATGGTCACTTACTGTTGACTGTTAGGCAAAACTTCCTGATTGAAGGAATGGTAGAACAGTTGACCCTGTTGCCAAGGGAGACAATAAGCAAATCTCCATAGATATATTTAAACAAAGGCGGGACAGCACTCCGTCTGGGATGTTTTATCCTGGATTCTTGCCCTGATCAGTCTGCAGCTGAGCACCAAGCAAACATTGATTCATGGTCTCAAAATAGTTGTCTTGGATGCTGATGTCACCACTGGCATCTCTGTGCAAGTTGCTTCATTTCTGCACTGCATGTGTTCTGAACTGAGAGGGAAACAGGCCTTGGGTGCAATGGTGGGGGACAAAGTAGGAGTGTCCTGAAGGGGGCTGCAGGGAAAGGTTACAGTAATGGGGTTCCTGGGGCCTTTCAGATGCTGCACTGTTAGACTCTGTATCCCAGTGGTCCAAACCAGCATGGTTAACGGAAGGAAGATGTCATCCATCACTGTCTGGAGAATCACAGATCTCCCATCCCGGCTTTATAAAGGGGAAAGGTCCCTCTGTGATGGATCCTCCTGCAAAACAGTCTCCCCAGCATCACTAGGCAGCATCCATAGATGCCCCAATTTAAATCATTTGAAGAATATGAGAGGAAACATAAGCATTTTCATGAACTGAAGAAGCTTCTTGGATGGGAAGCAAAGCTTTTTCAAGGAAAAAAACAAAGAAAGTCCAGTTGCCTTTTGGAAAAGCATCTTTGGGAAGTGGTAAGTATGAAAATGGGGATGCAATGGCTCATTGGCTAAGATGCTGAGCTTGTCAATCAGAAAGGTCAGCAGTTCGAATCCCTAGCGCCGTGTAATGGAGTGAGCTCCCGCTACTCGTCCCAGTTCTGCCAGTCTAGCAGTTTGAAAGCATGTAAAAATGCAAGGAGAAAAATAGGAGCCACCTTTGGTGGGAAGGTAACAGGGTGCACCTTCGGCATTTAGTCATGCTGGCCACATGACCATGGAGACATCTTTGGAGAGTGCTGGCTCTTTGGCTTTGAAACGGAGATGAGTACCGCCCCCTAGATTCATGAACAACTAGCACAGTAAAAACCTTTACTTTTTTTAGCTGATCAACTGAAAGCACGTAGGCTCTCTCTCCACTGCTCAAGTTACCCACTCAAGCATTTGTGTCTACTCAGCAGAGGGAACCACTCTGTTAATGTGACCAAGCTAATTGATTCTGTCTCCTTTGAAAGAAACTTTGCTGCTGAGATACTATTATCCCCCATTCCACAGGGCTCCATGGATCCTTTCATATATTTTTTTCATTTTATTTGACATTTATAGGCCGCCCTTTTCCCTGAGGGGACTCAGGGCGGCTAACAATTTGTAGGAAGGGAGTGCAAGACAAAAGACACAAAAAGAAAATGTGAAATATAATAAAATAAAACAATAAAACACAACATTCATTCAGCATTNTTTTAAGAGGGTTTTTTAAACAGTTAAGCAGAGTCATCCATGGTGACTCTGGCAGCAACTAACTCAGCCTGACCTCAGCTCTTGCCTTTTTCCTTTTACATTTTTTTTCTTTTCATGATGACAGTGATCAGGCGCTGCCTCCCCTGACTGCGCATCCCTGCAGTGCCCTCCTTACTAACCTGCTATCTGTTCTTCTGGCAGCTGCTCTTTTCTCCTTTACAAAGGAGAATGACAACAGTGCCCCTGACTCCAATCCCTTGGAGGTACACTGAGTTGAGGAAACTTGGGAGGGTTGCATTTCCCCCATTCCTGGCGTCTCCAAAAGTCATTCAGAAGTATGATCAATGCAACTTCTATATTGTATCCTGGATGAATACCAGTTTGTACTGATTTGTACCAGTTTTACTACCGGTTCACTCATGCGCGTGTGCATGCTCTCTGTCTTGTGCGATCTGGGTGGGTGGGTGGAGCCTCCCACCGCTGCCACTACCTGTTTGGTCAATGGGCCGAACTGGGAGCAACCCACCTCTGATGAACATTGAATGCCAGAGCTCAGAAAAATTAGAATACATGTGTGCATGTAAAATTCTGCAACAATCTGAGGTAAAACTGAGTATCAATAGAGAATATCTCCTAATAATTTCATGGCAGACAACACTTTAAATGTGACATGTATTCTTTCATGAGCATAAAGAACTTTATTCATAATTTTCCTCCAGTTTTCTCCTGAAGAAAGGATAAGACTTAAATGAAGAAAGAAGGGAGAGAGTGAGTAAAATCTTTACTGTCCTGAAAAGAATTCACTTCTATGGCTCTATCAGAAGTTTTTCCTTAGGTGCCTTTGAATTATTGCAAAAAGAAAATGATCAGTAAGTCTGCGTTCCTCCAAGATGCAACAATAGTTTTGTTTCAGGATTGTATGGAGGAAATAAAAACCTGGGCTGTTCTCCAGGATATAAAATACTGAAAAGCTGGCTGAATGGGATTTGCTGAACAGATTTTGCTGCAAGGGGAATTTTTGCTTGTAGAAGAGCAGAAACGGCCTGAAACATGCCTACATACACACAGCACTACAAAAAAAAAAAAAAAAACTAGTGTTGAAAATTGCCTTCTGTAAACAACAACAAAACTCGTGTTGGGCTTGTGCCAGTGTTGAATCCCTCTAGCATAGACCAGGCACTCTCAGATCCTGGTTGAGATAGGAAATCAGCCTTGAAATGAGTATGCCCTGATGGTTTAAGGAATGATTTCACTCCTCTACAATGCTTGCACTCAAGAAAGGCTTCAGAGGAATTAAATAACCCCCCTCACTCTTTCTTCCAGCAAAGGTCCACCTTGGATGGCAGTTGTGGTAGAAAGCAGGTCTCCTGCTTACTTCAAACCTCAGGCTGGAAGGAGGGGAAAAAAACCTTCTAGGCAGGCAGGAATGGGGCCTCCTCCTTCGCGAAGAACTAAGGCCTAGTGTTCCAACTGAGAAGAGCTCCTTTCACGGGCTCTGCTTTTCTCCCTACTCACCCCGCCCTGCATATAACGGCTTTTAAGAAAGGATCTGAACTATGAAAACCTTTCAAAGCAATGCTCCGGCTAATACGGGGCACATGATTGGAGATCAGATTTTTAAATTAGCCTTTTTCACTCACTCAT